TTCCCTACATGTGATACTTATCCGTAAAATTATTTTTGAAATTTCCATATTTTTTATTTTGTTCTTGAGAATATTTCTTCTTTCATATCTTCAATACGGCACTTTGGTAGACAAATTACTAAAGACTGCTGCAAAATCAGTAACACCCTTAAATTGTTGTCGTTTGTGATGTTTATAGTGGTTCTCTAGAATTATCGTCACTATGGTCATAAAATCAACCACAATTGCATCCTATTTACTATTTCACGCCCAGTTTTGTTTTGCAGTTTTTGTTTTATTCAACAATTTATAAAATAAAAATTATAATTTTTGCCCTACAAATTTTAAAAAATTTCGATTTGATCCCTATTTTTAAACTTTTTGTCGTAATTAGGCTCATATCCCAATAACACAAAAACAAACTATGACTAGTTCTAAATAGAGTAGTCCAGACATTGAAAAAAAAAAATTACACATCTTTCTACTAAATTATTTGCTTGTGTCTCACATAATTATTCACTATCTGTCATTTAATAATACATCATATTTAGTCACATAACGAGAGAATGCTACACTTTTTCTTTAACGAGACAATACAAAATATCTTCTATGTAAGGAAAGATCGACTTCATATTTAATGACAGAATGCTACACTTTTTCTTTTCTTTTTTCAATAAATAACTACTCTTCGTTCTATTGACAATAATCAGCAAATTTTGTCACATATAGAGCGGGTGGTCCAACGAAGTTAATATATTCTAATGGATTTAATTAACATTTAGAAAAAGTGAAGCGTCTTTTTAATTTTTATACTTCAATTTAGTCGTTTGAAGTCTTCTTTTAGAAGTACTAATTACAAAATGAAAATAATTAGTTGTGAAATTTATATACGGAACATGGTTAAAGACCACTGCTGATTAATGAGAGTTGGAAATTAGAGCAAAAATACCTCTCTATTGCATAGAAAGTGGGCAAATTCAGACGAAGAAAACAAAAATGTCTAGCCCATAGAATAAGTTGCACTGATTTCTAGTAGTACTAGTCGTAAACACAAAAATGTCTAGCCCATAGAATAAGTTGCACTAATTTCTAGTAGTACTAGTCGTAAAGACGAAAGACACGAACTTTTTGTCTCA